AAGTAGTCAAAGTTCTAGGATAATGAAGATAGAAAACAATATTTTTAAAGTTCTAACACATAGTTCCTTTGGAGCTATTAATTTCAAGGGACGATTAAAATTAGGGAAAAGAGGATGGGTACGTGAATTAGGAACAAGCCCATTAGTTGTGTACAACATAAAAGCAAGGTAAAAATTATTTTTAGCTTTTCATTTTTTAAGAATTTTATTATGTAAATTTTGAGTGTGTTTTTCAAAAGTTTTTTTTGGAAGATTTTTTTTTATTTTTTTAAGTTGATTCGGGTATCTGTCAGGATATGAGTATCCGAAATTTTAAAATAATTACCAAAAAAATGGAAACTTTTAAAATTGCAGATACAGTCCGGAAACGTACGGTACGGGTATCCTAGAGTATCAGATACGAGAACGTTTCCAATACGCCGATATGACATTCTAGTGAAGTATCTGTGCTTGATAGTGCATTACCCATATTGGTAGTGATTCAAAAGGATGAGAAATTTGTTAATATAGTCGTGGAGCTTTGTTTGATAAGTGGAGTTGTGAAAGTGATGATGTCTTCTTTACTAAATTATGAACAAATTTTGAGGAAATGAAATAGAAAATTGTTGTTTGTACACACCGATTGCTAATGGCCTAGCCACCATTGGTGAATATATTTTTTGTCTATAAACACGCTATTTTTATGTCAGTAAATAACGTGTTTACAAACAAAAAATAGTCTCATGTAGAAATGTAATTAAGAAGCAAAAGTGAATGCCAGGGCCGTTTTTTAGGGGTTTAATAGATTATCCAAAACAGCCAACGGGGCCCCCGAATTTATGGGACCCCAAAATTTTAAATTTCTTTTAGTATTGTATAGTACGGAGTAATATTATACGAAGTATATTAATACTAATTAGTAAAATATAGTTAGTAATAAGGAAGAAAGTTATAGATCCATTATTTTTTTTCCTATTCTTTTTACTCTTAGTTCTCCTTAATAAGTATTCAATTGATTTGAATATAAATATTTGAATTCATATTTTTAAATAATAATTTGGAACCCTGATTATACTTAGAAGCAGAGCCTCCAAATTGTATGAATGGAACGTGATGATAAATTTGTGTAGCTGTGTTCTATGTAGCACCGATACCGGTACGCGGAAACGCGGAAACGCGGAAACGGGTACGGGGATACGTCAAAACCAAAAAAAGTAGGATACAGATACGGGACCATATTTATAAATATTAAAAGTTGTGGGGGTGTATTTACAAATATTAAAAGTTATAGGGGTCTATTTATAAATATTAAAAACAGATTTTTTTTGAAAATATATATATAATACATATAATATCCTATGATGTCTGATGTGAGTTTTATCTCACTTAAAATAGATCGTAATATAGTGGTGTAAGTACGAGTATCGTCTCCACAGGGACGGACAAAAGGGAATTAAAGATTAACTAAATTCAGCGATTAAAAAGAAAATAAAATAAAAGCGTCGTGCGAGATTGTTTGGTTTGGAAAATAAAACTAATGCGAACAATTAAACTAGGGGGTTCTTTCTAATTAATGACGAACGGAACAGGGATTGATTCCGGGGTAACCAGATTTCTGGCAGATCAGGCCTAATTACATGAAATTAATTTAATTGAGCCTAGCTAATCATTACTAGGTTCTTACCGCTCTCGCGGCGTAGAGTACAATAATTTAGGGGACCAGGCTGATCTCTCATGCGACAGGATCCTAAATTATTGCCAAGATGAGCGAGCTTACGGCCCCTTAATCGCTACTAATCTCTTAGCGAACGATTAAGTGTGTGTGAATGTGTCCTAGAACATATTAGATCTCTCTTAATTTATTCTACATGCAATTGTAATTTTAGTCGCGATTCTATGTTACAAAAGATATCAATTAAATTATTCAAACACAAATTAAACGGCATTCATGCAATTAAACCGAAAAGAATCTAGCCATACATCATGATTAACCCCTTCATCAATCCCAAATCCCTAATTAAAACTACTCACAATTCATGATTGAAGAATCAATAGAATTGGAATAAAAAGAATTAATTGTCATTAATTAAAAAGGTGGAACTTACAAAGAATCCCAAAAGATTGATGAACAAGGCTGAAAAACCCTCTAAATTTCGTGCTAGGCACTCTCTCTAAGCTCCCCCTTCAAAACGGGGGTTTACGGGCTGTTTAAATAGAAAAATCGGGTCAAATTTGAGCTGAATTGGGATTTTCAGAGGCAGGCACGATGTCAGGCACGATCGTGCATTCGATCGTGCCTCCGGAGCAAAAACGCGCATTTTGGGCAGGCACGATCGTGCCTCCCTCCAGGCACGATCGTGCCTGGCTGGCATTAACTCCTCCGTGTTTTCTCTTCACGCACGATTGTGTCTGACTTTGAGGGCACAATCGTGCCTACTTAACTTCCGAATTTGACAAAACTTCCTTCATGAAAGTTGTAGATAATGAAGTCTTATATCCACCCCAATTTGCCGAATGTGATTTGAATCATCCAATCAACAGATATGATCAAAACGGTGGAAGGTGTCTTTCTGAAATCGCAGCAGAGATCATCTGACTTTATCGTCTGTTTTCACCTTCTTCCTCTCAGATTCTCGCAAAGGTATCTTCATATGATTTGTATCCCTTGAAGTTAGCTTTCATATGAAACTTGAATAGTGTCCATTGGTTGTTTCTACAAAGAGATAAGCTTGAACGATTGACAGAAGGTCATTCTGATCGTCGTTTTCAAGCTTCATTCATCTTCTTTTGACCCCGTAGCCAATCCTAGAGCTCTTTTGTCGTCAAATCTTCATCGTGAACCTCCCGGTGACCTCCAAAGCTCTCAAATCACTCTCGAATTCTTCTCAACTCATCCCGATTTCTTTTCAACCGTCGGTGCCGAACTCTAAAATCCTGATTTTGACTCCAACTGACACAAAACTCGAACCAACGCCCGGTAAACATAACTTGAACTAAAATTGAGACTTGCAATGCCTTAAAGCTGGGAAAACCATCAAAATCCAGTCCCAACACGCATCAAATGCGTGTCTAAATATGGACTTATCAATGTCTACCCATTCATTGCATTGAAACATTTTCCTTTTTCAAGATACTTAGTAATAATTTCATAATATTTCTCATATACACTAGTATATCTCGAAATATAAATGTAGTCAATAAGTCATTTATTTAAAATGAGAAATAAGTCAAACAACTACAATCTTGAAATTAAAAGTACAAGTACCTAATTCGGAGTATGAGTTAATGACTTAATTCCGATATAGCCATAGGCCCACTATTTGATTACCAAGTAAAATGTAGTTTTAGATTTTCATTTTTTTTAAAATTTTATTAAGTAAATTTTGGGATTTTTTTTTTTAAAGTTGATACGGGTATCCGTCAGGATACGAGCTGAGTATCAGAAACTTTCAAAAAATTACAAAAAAAATGGAAACTTTTAAAAATTGTAGATACGCTCCGGGAACGTACGGCACGGATATCCTAGAGTATCGGATACGGGAACGTATCGGATAAGTCCATACTTAGCCTCGGGAAGTATCCGTGCTTCGGCTGTATTCATAACTCTCCACGTACATGCAACGTGTTACTTTGGGTACCTTCTCGTTCTAATGCGAATTTTCCACATCAATTTATATCATTTCATCGAAGCAGCAATGATGCAGCACCCCTCCATTAAAAGAAGGAAATCCAACCCCCATAGGCAGTTGCCCAAATTCTTGTTACAGACGCATTTCCTCAAACAGTTGGCGTTCTTCATATTTAGCTCTTCATATCAGGTGATCCTGCAATGGCCAGTGCAAGCGATGAGTTCAGGCTGGTATCACCAGGCTTTAATCACGAGGGTAGGTTACCTAGAAAGTACACGGACGAAGGGCAGGTAGTTTGCCTGAAGGGACGAAGAGCTTGGCGTTACTGGTACAGGACATTGACGCTCCGGATCCCAGTGCGCCCCTCGTGCCCTGGGTCGTTTGGGTGGTCACGAATATTCCTCCCTCGTTGACCGGGTTGCCGGAAGGGTTTTCCGGTAAATTTGACGAGTTGGGCGGCGATGGCGGCGGCGATTTTTCTAAAATTAGGGAAGGCATAAACGACGACAAGGTTTTCGGATGGCGCGCGCCGAAGTTGCCCTCGCATGGCCACCGTTTTGAGTTTCGCCTTTTTGCCCTTGACGTTGAAGACCTTCATCTTGGAAATAAGGTACTCAACTCTTTTTTACATGCCCTTGATGATAATTTTTATTTATTAGTATTGATTATCAATTTTAATCATCAGTTTCATTAGCATCAACTACTAATTAGTTTTAACCTTTAGTATTTCTAAATGGCATAATTTTTCCTCGTTTTTTTTGCTTAAACATTTCAAGTATAACTTTATGGTTTATCAAATTGAGCAAGTGGACATAAATTAATGATACCGATTGCATGTGTATTTTATTAAGAGAGAAAGTGAAGACTTATTCTTGAACAGAAATTAAATCCTTTTTAGCATAAGTTAATGATACAGGATTGCGTGTGTATTTAACAAATGTGAAAATGAAGACATATTTTTGAGATGTTTCAGTAAAGACTATGAGAATTTGTTATTGGTGGAATAGTCTTATGGTAGGGCCAGAGAATACATGCAGATTATATATATGGTTCAGTTTCATCCATTTTGTGTTGATATAAGTTAATTTGTTCAAAATTTATGCTTTTGCAGCCTACCAAGGACAAACTTCTAGAGGCAGTGGATGGCCATACACTTGCAGAGGCGGTTCTGATTGCCAAGCTCTGAAAGTCTGAAATGTCCATTTTGTTTTTGTTTCTTTAACCAACACTTTCTGTAAATCTGTAATAATGTGAAATATAACCAAAATATACTATAGGTAAAGTTTCTTTCTGGAGTTTATGGCAGTTTTGCAGGACCGAAAATGACTGAAGTTAAGAAATTTGAATCATAATTTGAAGTTGTAATCAAAATGATACAATGAATCCATAGGATGAATGAATTGACTTGCTTGAAAACTGTATGAAAAAATAGTTATGAATAGATTTAAGAAAACAATGGGTAATATCTTATAGAACAGAAGTGCAAAAAATCAAACACTGCAAAATTATCAGACTAGTTGAAATGTATCTGGCTCGATTGCTTGAAGAACATCATCCCAGTTCAAAGTCTAAGGGGAGAATCAATATATGTCATTCTCGGAGACAGAATCCAGAAGGGGTGATGCTTGATGTTTTGACCATATTGCTCCCCACTGATAATGCCCGCTGGCTGCAAGCCTGCGGGGTTCTGCTTCCATTATAGGCACTGCAGATATATGCTTCAAAGTTTTCATAATCCTGCAACAGAAGGTGCACTCATTTACTTCCAATATACTTGTTTCAATGTATGTATTGAGATCTAAGAATGAGCATCATCTTTATATGCAATGAAAGATATAGAGATGGAGTGGAGTGACTAACTTCTTGAAGAGGCTGATTATTCACCAGAACCCATGGCACAAACCTGTGAGTGGGGATCAGACTCGCTGTCTCAGCTGCATACCCCTGTTCTAACTGCAGATTAAAAAATCACTCACATGACACATTGATCCCATTCTTATTTGGATTTGCTTGAACTTTTCATATAATTTCTAAATTAAACACATTTCATTTATCATTTCACCAATACCGATTCAAATGTTAATAATATATACATTTTTTATTCTGGTTTCATAAACTATGGTTAGAAAATATTGAGTGTGGTCAATTCTGACAATTTACATTTAAAATACCTATAAGAAGTACATACAGACTTACTTTGACATTCGGGTTTGGTTCTGTTTCATGCATATAGTTTGTTTTCAGTTCGGATTCGTTCAATTAGTTTTGTTCAGTTGAAGTGAGCCAAAAGATAGACCCCTACTTTTGCTATTAAACCGTTCAGGGAAGTGGTATTTTAAAAAGACAAAATGTATATATGTATATATGCCTATAAGCTTATAAGCTATCAAATGTGAAACCACCGCCGAAGACAAAAAGTACGCAAATATAAACTAATAAAAGAGAGACAAACCAGGATTCCAACTCCATTGTTGAAGCAATCCCTAACCGGAATTTCACTCAATCCTGTAGCAGCAAAGCAAGATTTCCAGTCACTGTGTCTGTTCTCCAGATGCAAAAGCTCTATGCAATATACAAATCTGAATTGCATGATTTCCTGTATCTAAACACCATTTTCAGAAATATGCACAACATTGTATTACTAAATATGGGCATGAGTTGGTTTTTAATGCAAGCTAGGAAGTCTATTTTTATTTACCAGATTACTCCATGAACTGATAGCACAGGCTTCCACTAGATTGAGCAGACACTCATCAGGGCCATGCTGGCAAATCCAGCCATGGTTAGGGGCTGTTTGGGTGTTTCCCCAAGGGATGAGCCTGAGATTGACAATGGACCCAAGATCTGTGGTAAACAGCCTCACTAGCTTATTGACAATGAAGTTTGCACAGTACGGACACAGAGTTTCGTAGTACAGCGATACGCTAACTCTGTCGTCCGAATCACCGCCTGTTGGAAAACCCCCCGAAGGACCGACTCCAATGTCTAAGGAACCATGGGATTGAAAGATGTAGGATGACATATATAAAAACACAAACATGGCTGTGTAGGTTCTCTTGGGAGGAGCCATTTCTAAACTGTGTGTATTAAGTTTGAAGCTGTTGTAATAATACAGTGAGTGTCTAGATGTGCCCTCACGTTTTTATAACGTTTTCTTGTAGAACACCAAGTGTAACTTTTCCACTTCTCTTTACGCAGTTTTTTGGTGTTTTGTTATTCCTTTGGGACTCTTCAACTGCATGCATGTCTCTAGCAAAGTAAAGGAAAAGCCTCGGTTTAGTTGATAATTTGGTCACTTAAAGGACGTTCATGTGATTTGCCAAGCAACCCATTCAGCGGGCCTTGATAAGGGCCTAGTAAGAGACCATATATCTTTGTGCAGACATTACAATCCCTCTCGGGCCGTTTTACCTTTACTCGAGAATTCGAGATAATACACTCATGTGATTGATATGGATGCCCGTTTTGCGGCCCATTGAGAATATTGGGCTGCTCATTGAGAATAGAATAATTTGGGGTTGAGATATTTCATGTGATTGCATTGAGATTTCTATACATGTCTTAGAAATTGACTATATCCATTTTACTCATATTCAAAACAAGCATCCCTCATTATGTCTCTGGTAGTTCTAACTTATCTCATGTGATCATCTTTGTGAGTATATCTGTTTAGTTCTCCCTTGTCTTGATTTTAACTTGCAATCGTTGATTGATCCTTCCACATTATCCAAAGCCCGTTTCACCTATACTAGAGAGCATACACAAACTTTTTTTTGGATCAATTGATAGGGATGCATACATATTTCGCGCCCAACTGAGAATATTGGGCTGGTCATTGAAAATAGAATAATTTTGAACTGAGATGTTTCATTTGATTGAATTTAGAATTCTACATATGTCAAAGAAATTGATCTCTTCAATTCTACACATGTTCAAAATAAATATCTCCCATTAATCTCTACATTGTTTTAGCTTATCTCATGTTACCGCCTTTGTGAGTATACATGTTTCGTTCTTCCTTGTGTTGATCTTAACTAGCAATCATTAATCAATCGTCTCATCAAGGACGAAGGTAGGTGGCCAGCCTAGGCCCTGACCACCGCTGACTCCCAGACATCTAAAGACACTACGGAGTAATTTTCTATACGAGAATAGCACATTGAGTTGCTCAAGTTTAGAGCACTTTGATGGTCGTACTTCACCTTTGATATCAAGTTGTTGAAAACAGCGCTTTAGTCACAATGGTCCCGTTTGTATAACGGCCGATTGAGCAATCCGCTGTTCTTTTTGAACTACAAATCGCTGCTAAAAGCAGCGGGTTGGCATGGATCCGCTGAAAAACAAACAGCCCCAATGTGTTTTTACTAACTTTTGCAACACAATATATTTTATTTATATTATAATTAAATAAAGTGACACACTTTTGTAACCTTGATGGTCGAAAAATACTCCTTCAAGAATTCATTTGAATGTCTTCCCGATTGAAGTTTTAGTTGCGCAGTTATCTGATCTTCAAGAATTCATTTGAATGCCTTCATGACTGAAGTTTTAGTTGAAATTTGCTATGAGTAAACTAGACTTAATGAATAAGATGCACAAAATATTTCATCAAAAATTCCACCAGGAACAGCCCTAAATGGCGACGGTTGGACAGAGTCTCATATATAAGAGCTTATTTGATCTTTTTATGTAAGTTTGAGGGCCTATCTGACCCTTTTCCCTATATTCTAGTACTAATAATACATCTGGCCATGTCTAGATTTGTATAGCCTTAAAATATTGGATAGGCTCCCTATAACAAAAACAAAAAATAGTTGTATACTTGGAGTGTCTGAGAATATCCTAATGCTCATTCCATGATTAGAGAAAAGTGATTTATGTACTGAAGAATATGGCACAACCAACATCTCTTAAATATATTCTTTGAATGTGAGACATATATTTTTAATCAATTTGAAATGATAGCCATAATCACCAGGTCTTCCTGGCCTGTAGGGAATTATTTGCATTGCTATGATTTGTTGAGCTCATCCTATGTTTTTCAAATCGTAACACTTGACTGATTTTTCCTTCACTTGACTGATTTTGATTGCAATTTTTCCAACAATCAATGTCCTTTACATATAGTAAAAGATCGATGAAGTATTGTGATGATGTCTCTTAATGTGACGCGTTCATTTGGTTTTTTAATTTGGTAGCATTAGCTCAACATAACTCAAATTTTCTATTCCACTACATCGATGCTTACTTGAGGCAATACATTGTTTAGATAGATTAAAAGGTCATCACTTGAACTCGCAAAACATTCAAACTATTACACTTCAGCTACTTCCCTCGATCTTTAATAATTGTAGCACTTCGAATTTCACACATTATTTGTTCATTATTTTCTTGTAATGTATTTGATCAAATTATTATGTATAAAATATTATGACACTTTTCTTAACGTGAACTTCCAAATTACTAAAGTTGTGGATTGACAAACGCGAAACTCAAGGATTGAAAAAGAACAGAGGTAGTATTATCTTTCAAGTCTGTGATGAAAACTCAAGGATTGTGAAGAAAACTCAAGGATTTAAAGGCCCAAGTTCATACGTGCTACTAAAACACACGGACACAATTGTTGCAAAGATCTTGTCTAATGAATCCTCTAGGGACTTATTTCATAAGGTGCCTTTCCTCCACTCTGACACAGATTTGTAGATCATTAACACAATTAATAATAGTATGAACTATAGAATCGATTGTAAGAGTTACGTTTTAAAAAAACTCTACAACAACCATGGGTCGTTTGAAGAGGCTTAAGCGCAGCTATTTAATCATATTTTGTTTGCAACGTCAAGAAATGGAACCATCAAGTGAAGTCGAAAACATTTTACGAATGTCCATGTTATGTAACTATGTTCTTGGACATAATATGTTCGAATGGAAGGTTCAAAAGTAAATTGTATATTGTTGGATCGATGTGTGATATTCGAGTGAAAATGTTACCAAATTTTTATCTGAATTTATGGCTTCAACTCCATATTAGGCTGCAAAAACTGTGATGGTTTATAATCAATGAAATATTCGAGTACCATTTTGGTTCTCTTGTTTATTCGTGTAGGTGTCTTTCTGCAAACAGGTTTGTTGGTTCTGCTTGCTCTACATGATCTTGTGGGATCATTAAAAATATGCACTACGTATTTTTTCACAAAAAAGCACTGTGTATTGAGCCATTGAACCGACCCTTAATCACAACAAGACACAAAACCAAAACACTAATTCATGTGTGATCATCAAGAGAGTAAATGTGCAGAGAAGGATGATGTACAGAAACAAACAACACTGTAAGAACGGCAAAGTGGCACTTTATATTAATTGAATCATCCTCAAGCGTTGCAAGACCTACAAATGTATGAACTAGTCAAAAACTGTAATTCGATACAATATTAGAGCATTTTAACAGCAAATAAGGAAAATCACTCATCTAATTGTACGGGGTTGTATAATATTGGACAAATTTAGTTAGAGAATGAAAGAGGAGGCAGTACACTACATGTAATTTTAAGGGATATTGTAGGCATACAAATCCATTTAATCAACCAGCACACAGCTCACAATGTGTCCTACTCCACCTCACACACAGGTCCCAAAGTGTGCCTTTTTATTTAGGTAAATCAGAAAGTGACCATATTTTTTAGGGGTGGGCGCGGTCCGGAACGGTCCGGTAAATTAGTAAAACCCATAATGTATCTGTGAGGTTTTTAACGGTCCGGTACGGTCCGGTTTCAAGGATGGAACCGTTCAGTACCATGTTGTTTCGGAACGGTACAAAATGGTACGGTACAATGCCAAACACATGCTAAAAAATTTGAACAAATCTTGCAATTAGTAGATATCATCACACCGACCAACTCACATGAAATGTTGATATAAATACAAGAAATTGCATATATAGGACTAAAATTCACAAATAAACAAATAGTGCAACTAAGAAAGAGTTTAGCAAAACGATGACGCATGAGATAAATATCATCCTTAATTTACTTAGTTCATATGAAAATATAAAAAAGAATATCATGAAATTGTTGCATATAATAGAAATCATCAACGTTCTTCATTCTTGGTTAAATATTACTCCGTAGTTCTAATTTAATTTATAGTTGAACTTTGAGAGCTAAGATTTAAACCATATTAATTAAGTTGTAAAATTGCACAAACACGATACAACAAAAAGTCATGTACGTTAACATTACTAGAAATGAAGTTACTGATGATTTCTCTAAATTTTAATATTCTTTCAATACATACCAAAATATAACATAAATTATCTAAAAAGAAAAATAACAATATATATAAACACACACATTTAGCTATTTTAAGGATGCATAAATACATACTTGGGCTATAAATTTGTTGGTCTATAAAAGAGATCTATTGAATTGGTATAGAAAAAAATAAAAAATTCAAGTGCATTATTTTCAAAATCTAGGACCAGTATTTTTCGGTTTTCAAAATCTAGGACCGGTCCCGTACCCGTTTCAAACGGTACGGTTTCGGTACGGGACAAATATATATAGAACCGTTTAAATACCCGGTATTCGGTTCGGTACCATTACGGGACGGTTCGGTACCGGTTCGGGTTTTATGCCCATCCCTAATATTATTTTTTTAACTTTGATATGAACACTTCTGCCCGATGAGGGTATGAGTTCAATACAATCAAATTGTGCACATTTCAAACTGGACAAAGATTGTCATAACTCTCAAGTACATTTTACGTAAGATCCACATATGATACGCCCATGAGTTGAACTAGGATGACAAATAAGAAAAGTGGAAAGGGATCTGGTACGATTTGGTGCGATCTGGTAACCATAGGAGTTGAACTAGGATGACAAATAAAAAAAGTGGAACGGGATTTCAACCTGACTACAATTCATTGACGGCATCAAGCCCTCAATGCACAACCTTCCTTGAATTGCAGAGGCCCCAAATAAAAAGTTCTATAGAGAGAATGATAGATACTCAGAACTAAACAATGAGAGTACCTGCAAGCCCTTTTTCTTGCTACAATCTCCTCATACTTCAGTTTCAATCCAGATGTGACATCTACATTCTACAATAAGAGTATTTGCAAAAGCTTCTAAGTTCTTAATAGCACTTTTTTGTGACCTCCAATGTCTTTATTTCTAAAAA